GAGGAACATCAAAATAGCAAAAATTCGAATGGAGGGACAGGAAAATGATTCAAAGATGTAAAAGAGACAGAGGGACNACGATCTGGCCGCCCAGTCGAAGTGGATGAAACCCATATCAAGGCCATTATCGATTCAAATCGTCACAGCACAACACAAGATATTGCAGAGAAGCTCAATGTGTCGCATACATGCATTGAAAATAAATTAAAAACCCTTGGTTATGTCAAGAAACTTGATTTATGGATCCCTCACCAGTTAAAGGAAATTCATTTGACGCAACGGATTAGCATCTGTGATTCGCCGCTACTGAACGCAATGAGAATGATCCATTTCTGAAGAACCTAGTTACTGGCGACGAAATGTGGACAGTTTATAACAATGTTACTCGCAAGAGATCACGGGTGAAGCAAAATCAACCAGCCCAAACAGTATCAAAAGCAGAGATTCACCAAAAAAGATTATGCTGTCAGTCTGGTGGGATCACAAAGGAATTTTGTATTTTGAACTCATGCCGCAGAACCAAACGATAAATTCAAATGTGTATGTTGAAGAACTCGAAAAACTGAAGAATGCAATAGAAGATAAGCGGCCGACATTAAAAAAATCGGAAGGGTGTTGTTTTCCATCGTGATAACGCAAGGCCCCACACATCTTTGGTTACTCGGCAAAAATTATTGGAACTGGGTTGGGATGTTTTGTCACACCCACCATATAGCCCTGCCCTGACCTTGCGCCTTCGGATTACCATTTGTTTCGTTCCATGCAAAACTCTTTAAATGGTAAAATTGTTAACAACGCGGATGATGTCGGATCACACCTAATTCAGTTTTTTAATAGCAAAGACCAGACATTTTACAAACGGGGAATTTTTACTCTGCCAGAACGATGGGAAAGGTCATCGACAAGAACGGCCAATATCTAATTGAATAAAGTTATATTTTTAAACAAAAATCCCGAATTTGCCTTCTTATTTGAAATTGGCAATGACTTAGTTGCCAACCTAATATTTGTCGAGTAATTCAGTAGCACTAAACCATCGGCAGGGATATTGAACATCCGAGTTTGTTTCCACTTTTAATAATACTTCATTTGAGTGAGCATGTGTATACGAAATATTTGTTCAAAAGGAAAGTGTAAATTAAAACATCTCGTTATCCCACCTTTGGTAAACAATATGGTGTTCCGGTAATCAAATCGATTTTGTCGGTTCATACTTACGCCTCACAGTTTCCCCTATATAGTTTCCTTTAGAAATGTTGGTGAGTACTTGTGTACATAGGGGTTTTATTATACAGTTAAATTTGGAATTTTTTGTGAAAGGTATTATCATGCTTCGCTGAGCACACTCATAACTGATGCATTCAACTGGTAAGGTTATTTTCAAAAATTTGCAAAAATAAACTGGTTTTTATTAAACAAGGTTCCCTCTAAGATATCACACACCCCTCAATAGAGATGAAATATCGAGGAGGTGGGTTAATCTTGAAGCAAGCATGAATGAGATGTAAAAACATCGTAGAATCTGTCAGATATCTCACTCTAACTGATGATTTGAGCAGCATTCCCTGAAATAGTCCTCTTCCCATGAATATTTACATTTTTAGAGTTACGGTGATAAGTAAGTGAATTTCTATCACAAGACACTCGAAGTAATAGATGCTGAAAATGCGATATAAGTAAGACATAGAATTGGCATCCGAAAGTGTTATTTAAACCATCGGCTGGGAAAATAAACATCAGAATTTTACTCCACTTTTAATAATAATTTATTTGGCTGAGCATGTGTATGCGAAATATTTGTTCCAAGGGGCAGTTCAATAAAAAAGATCTCGTTATCCCACTATTGACAAACAGTATTGGGTTCAGGTGTTCAAATTAATTTTGTCGGTTCATACGTGCGCCTCAGAGTTTCCGAGTCATGATTGCTTTTAGAAATGTTCGTGAATACTTGTGCACATAGTGATTTTATCAGACAATTAAGATTCGCAAATTAAGTATGCGGTTGCTAATGTGGCGTTGACTCCTTCAGAGGTGAGCAAGAAGCGAGCTGAATAGAACTTTCTTAAGTAAACGGTATTAGTTCCATATATTCCAGGGTCTTACAGACTCTAAAGTTGACTTTCATTTTATATTATAAGCCAATTAAATACATGCCCCATATATATCATGCTTAAACTTGATCTTTTACAAAAACCGAAGCTTCTAATAGTGATGTGAAGGAGTAATCATAGCACAATTATTTTTATGCAACCCATTCGTTTTTGTATCAATCGATCGATTTTCGAAATTTTCATAAAATTTGCATCAAATGAGACTGACGTGAGACAATCCATTGAGTTGGAAGATCGAAAAGTCTAGGTTTTCAAGTGCATTATTGACCAAATAATTGAACTTTTACAGATGTGTTAATCCTCGAATATAGTTCTCGAAACTTGTTTTATTGATAAGCACGAATGACTGGCTGAATTTTGACCCAATCAAAGTTTCAACTAGACTCCATCATATCCAGATCATATTGGTTAAAACTATGAATGTATTCCGTTGAAATTAATTCACCAAAGGGACATTCAAGAGACAACGCAAAATAACATGTCAGCTAATCATGTTTATGACAGGAGTGTTCGTAATGTTTTATATGCTTTATGGATTAATCAAAATCCATGAAATAATCCAATTTATCCAGCTTATTCAGCAACATGAGCGCCACTTCTGGCAGACATTCGAATTCACCATTTAAAATTTCCTTGCACTAATTCAATATTCGATTTCTAGGTCCAAACGTTAAGAGTTTCAAGTGTTAAAAATTTACCAGTGAGCTTTCCCTTGGGAATATTTGAAGCTTGGACACTGCCCATGGATGGATCAGTTAATTTTTAATTCCCTTTTTCATACACTAAAGTTCAGTTTAGTTCAAGATTTCGCCCATAATATCCCCCTAAATTTAACCATGGGTCTGTGCAAAAGCTTATTTCAGGAACCATTTTGTCAATTTGATTTACTTCTAGTAATACAACATTGT